ATGTGTGTTGAGCAGACAAATCGGACAAATCGTTTCCGGGTCCAGTGTCATGGTATCATCTAAAAGAAACTCAGCGAAATGTTGAAATTATATTATATAGTATGTAAAATGTTTAAATAAACATAACACTTCAAACTTAAATTCGATGAACGTATCTTTGATGACAAATATATCTAATTTTGGTTCGTTCTTAACCGGTCATTTTGTAACCGGCATAATTGTCTATATGATTGTCTACACCCTAAGAACTGCTTTCGATTTCTATTCGCGTGTCGTTTTGAACGTTTGAACATTCTGCTACTTTCCCTTGCAACGACCGGAAAGACCACTCTTTGAGCCTAACGAATGTTATTATTTTTACGAATTCATAACTTAATGGAACTTCATAAAAATGTTTATATGACCTTAGGAATGTCGCACAGGCAAATAAAAAAATGTTAAAAACATTTTTTAAACATTTGTTTATTTTCAGTATTTCTTAATTATTTATAAATGCTTAAAATTATGACATATATACTTCACAATGTTAAGTACATGGCAATATTCAAAAGCAATATTATGTTTCAGAAACAATTGGATGATAATGCTACATACATTCAGTTGAGAAATTTGGAAAGAAAGTTGTCTCAGCTAGAACAGAACAATTTTGCTGCACGAGAATATATCGAAACTAAAAAGTCCGAAACAGATTATGAGCCATTAAAAAATAGTGTTTTTGAACTTGTACAACAAAATAACTCTTATATTAAAGAATCCCTCAAATAAAGAAGTATTATTTTATTAATTGTGATGAATTTTCGGCCTGGACAGCCCAGGTCGCACAGGCTGAAGGGCCGTAGCTATCTCATGCTTGAAGTGTCGCGAGTTCGATTCCGGCCCGGGGTATGAGTTTCTGTGTCGGTATGTTTGTAATTGTTCATTCATCCTTCATCATCATTTTCAGGGTCGGATCTACACTTTTGAGGGGGGATTTGTGTGTGTATGTTTGTATGTATGTATATGTGTATGTATGTATGTATGTATGTATGTATGTATGTATGTATGTATATATATATATATATATATATATATGTGTGTGTGTGTGTGTGTGTGTGTATGTACAAAGATAATATAAATTATAAAAACAAGGTCAATTATTTATCCTAAAATGCTTTCAACAAAAATTTAAAATATTTAGTTTAATATTTAATGAATACTTTATAGTTTTACATTAAATATAGTAATAATTTGTTATTAAAATCGTGGAATTCATAGCGGGAAAACGACGAAGGATTAAGGTATTAATTTCTTTCATTCTATGATACACATGTCAACAGAAATAATTAAAATAAAAAACTCATGATATCAATGTAAAGATTAAATATAATTGTCTAGGACTGAAGAAAATCGACAGGATTTCACAAAATATGTTTCAAGCTTCTATTTTTTATTAGATGTTTCTCTTTTCTTCTTATTCTTTTTAGATATTTTATTGGTCTTCGTAAGTACTTATTAATCGTGCCGTCTCCAGGCGCAAAAAAGTTATCCATGCCCTATTCTGTTTCGGACCCACTGTAATTGTGTGAAATGTCACAGCGTCCTACGATCACTCGCTTGGCACTTAGAGAGAGACCTTTCTCCGAAAACTCTGTTTCCAGTTGCGTCGGCCACACTCCAATACGTGGAAGTCGCCGGAGCAACGCTTGTCAAGTCTATGGTCGATCAGAGTAAAAAAGATATATGAACTGTCACGTGCCTCTGGAGAATAGTCGAAGACATTTTCCATATGCACCACTGTAATAATAATAATAATAATAATAATAATAATAATAATAATAATAATAATACAGCGAGAATCAGGATTTCCATTCCGAACTAAAAGCCTAAGAGAAGGCGCGATTATTTTTGCTTTCCCGTATACGTACGTATATACGGAGTAATATACGTTGAATAGGAGGTTATGTAATGCTGGGGAAAATCGATTTTGAGAATTCGACGCAAATACACTTTTGGGGGGCCCCTGATTCTGAAAAAGTGTTAGTTTGTTTGGTTCATTTGTTTGTTGTTGTTTTCTCCAATAGTATTGTACGTCCGGTGTCTGTGAACACTAGCGCCTAAACCATGCATAGCATTTTTTCCAAATTGAAGAACCCCGTGTCGTTCGGACTGGAGTCGAATCTTCGAAGATTTGGGGGGAAAAAAACTTGGGGATATTTAACATTAAGCCCGCGGACATTTTCAAAATTTTCTCAAAAACGACCCCAAACCCCCTCTCAATAATGATGACATACGTCCGATTTTCACGGTTAATTCTAAAGTTTCGAAAATTTCAAACGTATAAATTGTTTTCGGTGTCTTCCTAAAACTGTAAAATTTAAGACAGAGATTTTTCCTTAAAATAAAATTTGTTCTCCAAAGTAAGTTCTTTCATTAAGATCATATAGTTTTTGAACATTTTAGCAGTTTAGGGGCAAATTGCGTGCAATATGTGCAATTTTAAAAAATTACGAAAATAAGATTTTCTCAAAAACGACTTCAATTTTTTCTTTAAACGTATGGTATGGATAGTATTAAATGTACTATATAAGACGACAAAAACGCCATATTGTTCTATTGCTTTGTTGTATTGTTTTGTTGTCAAAAATAACAAAAATGTAATTTTTTTAACTTTACTCTCACGTCGTTACTATTTGCATTACCGGTGATTTGTTTACATTACTGCATTTATGAGTACATGTGCTTGAAAGCATGTCTTATAAACTTTCTCGAAAACTCAAAAGTTTTCTGTGAAAAAGAGCTTCAGATATTGCATTTTCAGTGACGCTTAAACGCCACTTTCTTTGACTTAAAATTTTTCAAAAAAATTGCCATGTAGGACGAGGTTTTAGTCATCTTTTATACTCTTTGAATAAAACGATAAAATAGTATTATTTTTAAGATTATTATTTACTTTTCTGTCTGTGGTCTTTTCAAATTAAGTTATTTTCAAATAATTTTCTGTCTTTAAAATTGGGCCAAATACAGTCTAATACAGTAAAACTCGTTCAATGCAGAACGTGAATAATGCGGAAATCCCTCTAATATGAACATAAATCGCAGTTCCACCAAACGTGAATTCCGCACTATTACATTGCATAATGCGGAATCTTGTCTAATACAGAAAAAATACTGGTCACTTGATACTTGCATTGAGCAAGCATTACTATATATCGGTTCTACCATTAGGAAACAGAAAAATTAAGCTCTGGGATTCCGCAAAATGTGTGTTCAAACTTCGCTAAACTCTCAGGTCATTCAAAAGACTGGGAATTGCAAACAATTGCTTTATTTTGAACAGCCCACATTTTGCGTAAAATATATAATAACAATAATAATAATAGTAATAATAATTTTATATTATTGGTTACGATTATTAACGTAATTATACTCCATAAACACGTATATTATTCATCTCAATTTTTTTGGTTACGAATCGGTCATCTTAGGACTACGCGAACGTCCAACTGTACCGACATATTTTCTCGGGGGTAAGAGCACACGACTTTTTTTTGAGGGCGGAAATCAGCATTTCTATGCTGCATTCATTTTTACACCCCAAGGTTGTTAGTTTTGGGAGGGGTGAGATATGAAATAACAGGCGCGGATCCACGGGGGCGGGGGGAAAATGAGGGTTATCCCCCTACTCCCAATTTTTTTAGTAACTATTAATCTTAACTTCTCACGAAACTTTCAAGTAACTAATTGTGCTAAAACAGCACGTACTTTCTCGACCGTATTTTCACTCAAAATTACGGGAAAAGGACTAAAATTTTCAATAAATACTCAAATTTTCGAAAAAATTCAAATTTTTCGAAATGACAGCGATTTTTTTTTTAATTTTCCAAAAATCAGGATTTTGACCCAACACGGGACTTACACAATTATCTTAAACGTCCTTCAGACTATCCACCAAGAAAATATCAAAAACGATGGAGAATTTTTTGAGAAAAAATTGTTTAAACAAAAATAAAAATTGCACGGAAAGCACGCAAAATTACGTGAAAAATACTAAAACTTTTGAAATATTGTACATGTCCTCAGTTCAAAATCTATCTTAAAGGAACAGATTTTATTAAGGGAAAACTATCTTTTAGATGTAGGAAGTCCCTGAAAAAATGTTCATTTCAATTTTCGAAAAATAAGTATTTTCAACCAACATGATACCTGCACAATTTTCTTAAACGTTCTTCAGTCTATCCAACAACAAACTTTAATCAAAATCGATGGCGCCATTTTTTTTAAATGTACAAAGTCGTCATGTAAAATACCCCCCAAAAGTAAAATATCGATTTCAAATCCCAGGGTCCGCAACATCAGCCAGATCGATAAGGGAATATTAATTTTGAAGAAAATCGGCTTAACGGTTTAGCCGATAGAGTTGTTCACAGACGTCAATTGCCGTCAATTGATTTTCCTGTATCAAGGACCCACAAAACTGATTCTGGCTACACCACGTGTTGAAGGATTTTTTTTTTTTTTTTTTTTTTTTCTAAATTTAGCAAGTGGATTTATCCCCTTTTTCGTTACCAGGGTCCTATATTAAGATTTTTTCTGCCGAAAATTCACCGTTTTTTCGCGCAGCAGTTGCTAGTCAAACACACTGGGTTCTGAGCTAGGTCGTTCAATGTTGGGCATCGGCTTTATGCTATTTTAATTTTTAAAACCATTGTCTACCAATTAAGTGCGGAATGTTCGCGCAGGTCCAATCGGTAAAATATACACTATTACCGATTCTGGTGCACATAATCACAAATTCCCTCAACCATATTGTTCTGTGTCATAATTTAATTATTGTCCGCCTGCAAATGTATCTCCATCGCTTTCAATTTCCCGCGTTCCACCACATGCAGAAACAAAAGAAAATCCCGTCCAATAACTCGATGCACGAACTCGACGCTACATCGTCGCTATGGAAACCGTATACCATACACAAACGAAAAAGATCAATGAAGTTACGAAGTACAATTTGCATAAAGTGTTAATAACAAGGAAACGAATTTATTAACTGTCTTCTTTAAGAGCACCTCGAAAATTATTCAACTCGATTTCGTGCTGACAAAGAACTGCAAATTCACGAGAACAATTTTCGCAGTTGGTAAGTTTCCTCTGAATTGAATCACAAACTGGAAAAAATATTGATGATGAATTAAAAATAACAAACATTATTAAATAATTTTAAAAAGTATAAGATTAGACATGTAATATTTGCCTATGTTCATTTATATTGCATTGGAAGTGAACAATACTTTATAAGTGAAACTTCCGGCTTCCACACATTCCAGCGGTGATTTTGAAGATGGTACGAGGCTTTGCGCATTTAGTTTGCGCGTAGACGGTATTACACTGGCTGGGTTTGCCCATCTTACAAATATTTATTGAAATGGAATCAAATTTGGGAAAGGATGCCCCCGACTCCCCGACTCATTGGAAGAAAGACGACAGAGAATCGATCGGCAACGAAGGCGTGAATTTCGCAACAGACGGGCAAACGCCGCCTCTCAAACGCGAGGATAGACCAGTTTCGAGGCGTGGAATGGCTTCAAGACAAGTAAGAAACTGTAAACGGTTTGCGATCATTTCATAAAAACAAACTTAATGTACTAAAATGTATTCTTTGTAGAGTCAAAACATGGAAGAGAGACCTTTCACGCAACAAAGTGGAGGGCGACCTGTAACTTCGGGACGTTCTTCTGGTTACCGAACACCCTCTGCTTCAGTGTTTGCTTCCCGTGGATCAGTAGTTCCAGGAACTGCTTCTCGTCTCACTTCTGCCATGAGACAATCTCCAGTATCAAGGATTGGTACTGCAATTACTTTTGCCGGAGCACAGGTGATACAGAAAGAAAAAAGAAAAACACCAACAATCCAAAGAAATACTGTTTCCTCTACATGTAGTACTCCCAATGAAATAACCTTCCAATTAATTTATAGGTTAGTGTTGTGGATCGGCCCATCACTCAACAAGGATTAAGTGGTTTACGAACAGGTGTTCGAGGACCTCAAATGAGGCAGGTTCAAGATAAACGATATTTTGAAGGGCTGCTGCAGACTAAGATTCGTGACTTAAGTAATGAAATAACACGCTTGGGAAAGGATATTGAAACTCAACAGCGAGAGCAAGCAACATTCTTGGTGTATGATAAAAGAGTGAAAGAAATGGCAGCAGAACTAACAGGTTTGCGCATTTCAAGATAGTATTTAGATGTGAAAGACAGATAATAATGATAATAATAGACTTTATAGTAATAGACCATATAGTATATATTAATAGATCATTCTTTCATTTAGTACATTTGAATAGTCTATCAATAGTCAAGAAAACCAATAATTATTTTAATTAAATAGTTATTGCTATTTAAAGACAATATCTTCATTCATAAAAGTTAAAATAAGATGTGAAGATTTTACAACAGCAACTTACTTTTCTCTATTGAATGCATAATAGCTTGACACATTGTTCTTCCAAAAACAGGGAAAATTTTTCATATATTTTTTTCCAAAAAATGATATTTAAAAATCGATTTTGAAAGTTTATAATTTCTAACAAAGAATTTAAAACAAATTTTGTTATTGGTAAGAACCTGCAGCCAAATTGGATATAATAACCTCTAATATAACAATCTCTATGTTAGGTATCCCCCCCCCCCCCATTGTCATTGAATCAAAAAATTTGCAGTCTTCATTTGTCAATTGTCCTTCAATTCTAATTATTGTTTATCGAATATCTTACAGAAGCAAAGCTTACTCTGTCATTGTTCTTTATTTAAATAATATGTTTAAAAGTATTAATTTAAATTAATTTATTCCTTGTTATAGAATTAAGGACAGTTGGCAGACTAAACTTAGTTGTTGATTAAAATTAATACAGAACTGAAAGAGGGGAAGTAGATGCTGAATGGCCAGGAATTACAGCTCGTACAACAAGAAGCTACAATTTGAACACTATTTGCTGCATTTAGCAGTAGAGAGACACATATACAAATTTAGAAATGGAAATTGAGCAGGTATTTTAAAATTCTCTCCTTGAAGCATGTATACACTACTTTGCATCAAGACAAAATGTATTCAAACGTGATTTTATATTTAGGAAGGTTATGACAGACAATTTACTGGGCTATGAGCTCCAACAAGAGAGTCGATATTTCAGATTGCAAAATACAAATGTACAGTTGCAACAGAGAAGGGAATCTTTCAACAGGCAGTAGAATTCTTTGAATGCACGCAAAAACGCTTCTGGAAGAATCAGTTGGCTGTGTCCCAAGTGGCATGGTGCTTCTGATTAAGGGATATTCATTCCATGTGAATAAAGAACAAATATTATTTACAGAATAAAAATGAACAGAGTTTGAACTTGGGCAAATTATTCAAGTCAAAACTGCTTCATCATTCTATTTTAAAATGGATATTATAAAGAAATATTCAATTTTCATTCATAAAAACAAACATAAATTCTATTGGACTTTGTGAGATCCAACAATAATGTTCAACTCTTAACGATTTGGCAGATGAACAGGAAGCTGTGAGACTCCATCATAACTTCAGAGAAGAGAAGAAAAAAGAAAAAACAAAACCCTTTTAATAGAAGAAGAAAAGAATCGTTCAAAACTCCAGTCAGGAAAGGGACAATTACTTCAGAGAGTTAAAGATGATAATGCAGAAATATGGCATCTGGAGAGACAAATTGGCGAATTGAAAGAGTTACTCAACATGGAAAAAACAAATGAACTCGAGCAAGATTGAGCAGGTTGAGAAAATACTTTTTTCTTAACTATTAGAACTAATCATGGTGAATGAACATGGAAATCTATTATGCACTTAATAATTCTTAAACAAGTGTATGCAAAGATCTTTTATTTAAGAAAATGCCCAATGAAATAATGAAGTTGTTTGTTTGTTTTGTTGGTTTTTTTTTTTTTTTTTTTTTTTTTCCTCACAGTGAACATTGCAATTTTACATCTGGGAAAAACTAGGATTCAACTCGTTAAATAGGATTGTCAGAGGTTCATTACTAAATGGAGATTTCAGCTTGTTTTTATTTGATTTATTGTTTGGTTTCATGTTGCATGTTTGAACACTTAGTTATTGGGTACTACAGAATTTGCTTTCAAGGACTATGGGATAAATCAGATTTACTATTTCTTCAATGCATTTGCTCATGTATTTTTGGGGTTGATGGGATAATTGATTTTTTTTATGCTAACTTGAAAAGCAGGGTTAACAAATAATTTTCTTGGTGAAAACTTCATTCACAGAATATGAAGTTCTATTCCTCCTTGTCTTCTTCATCCTCTAAATTCACTATTCTGTCTAGTTTTTTTCCAAAGATAAGTGCTTATCTATGGCCTGACAATGTTTATTTTTTGGCATCTTTGGTTAATTTGAAATCCTCAGCATTATCTAAAATGTCAGTTTTCATTTTTAACATCTCTTGTGTAATTAAAACTTGTTAAACAAAGCTTGAATATCTTTCCTCATGGCCCACTTTTTCTGTGGTTTCACTGCAGTTTCTTTGCAGTTTTTGAAAGGGACTAAGTTTACCCAGCTTCTCTCAGAACTTTAACTTCTTTTCTTTAAAATCGCATTATTTGAAAAACTTAACATGCTGGTGATATTTGTGTTTTTACAGCTTTGAGTTTAACTTAAGTTTGTGTCACAATGTTGGAAACTTGCAAAAAAAAAATTTTCTAATAGAGTTTTTTAGATTTCGCCTTTGTGGCAATGGAAATCATTTTTTGTTCTGAGGTAGCAATATTGCATAAATGATCAAGAGAAGACGGGAAAGAGAAATACATGACATTTCCAAAGTATGGCAAAACGGAAGGATTAGTTGTAGCAATCAGCACCCTAAAAATTAATATTGCTTCTAGTTGGCCTAGTAAGGTCGTATCTTCCAAGAAAACCCTTGATATTAAAGACATTGATCAATTATTCTGTTCATTTAGAACATAGAAGTAATTGACATAATTCAATCAATTTTGAGATTTTTGGCAACAATTTTTTTTCACGCAAACCAGATTTATGGCACCATTAATTTCTTCTCTATCTTTTCTTCACAACATTATGCTTTTCCTATATAAATTTTTAAATGTATTAAAATGAGGAGCTTCATAGTTTTTTGATTTGCTGGGTGAGAAAGAACCAACTCAAAACATGCTACCTCAATAATTTCATAATTTATCTTTAGAACATTAAATACGAAGATCTTTTTTAGGATTTGGATGAAGTCAAAGTGAACGTCATCAGAAGTAAGAGAACTGCGTTCCAGAGAGGAAACGATGGAAGCAGTTTTTATAGGTTTTGAGGAGAGTAAGAATCAGAACTGGCAGAATCACTCAATTAGAAGGGCAAAATTGTGAATTCCTGCAATCAAATTGTAAAAATTTAAATCATGCTGGACATCTTCCCATTGTAGATGAGTTTTTCTGCTATAAAAGATAATTTATCATTTAAAGAGGGAAAGTAGAAAAATATAAGAAACACTGTGGAGCTTGAAAAGAAACCATCAATTGCAAGCTAGTCTTGAGAAGGTTTGTAATTTTGAAGAAAAGTCAAATAAAACATTCAATTCAAAAAATTATAAATATAAAATATATACTTTTTGTAGGTGGAAAGCCCTGGAAGAGCAAGATTAAATTAGAGATGGAACTGAGACAAAAAATGGCACAATGACCAGTGACATGTCATTGTGGTCAGATCTTGATAAGTTACGAATGGAAGCAACAATAAAACCTCACAACTTGAAAGAGAATTAAATTGCTAGAAGAAAAACTGTCCTGCACAGGAATGCAGTGAAAGAAATGCAAAATTGATGCTCTTAAAGGTTTGTAAACAGGAATAAAAAGAAACAACCAAATTTAAAATAATTTTTAAATTGTAACATCTGAATTTTACATTCTTGAAATGTTTCTTTTTTGCAGAACAATTGGATGATAATTGAAACTTACTGTCAAATAAATAACTTGGAAAGAAATATCCCAACTGGAACAAAATACTTTTGCATACATGAATACATAGATCAAAAAGATCAGAAACAGATTATGAGCCACTTGGACAACATAAAGTTTATGAACTGGTTCAGATTCAATTCGTATATCAAGAATTTTGAAATAAGCAGTTATTTTGTAATAAATATTATTACACAGTAACAAAGAAACTGAATGTAAGTGTGCATTTTTTATTTGATACCTTAATAATTTCTGAAATACTTGTATTTGAAACTAATAAGAAATAAATATGAACTACAAAAAATCAAAAAACATTCTGCTTCATATCATATTTCAGAAGATATTTTATTAAAATTATTTCTCTATTAAGAAATTTTGTACAATCTTTTTCATGATTATTTCAAATTTGGTACACAATTTCACATTTCAATGTATTTCAGCAAAGCCCTCGTCGGTTGTAGGTTTCTATATATTTTTTCCTGGCAATGAAAAGGATCCATTTGTCTATTGTGTTACACTACATATATAATAAAATAGTGATCCTAATAATAATTAATAAACATTTTTTGGGGTGTACTCATGTATGAATTAATCACCATATCTGTGACTTCCACATGAGTGTCGTCAGTTTAGTTCACGAAACTAAAACAAAGCAAAGATTAATTATTTAATAATTGTATGGAAAAACAAATGTGATTCATACAAAATTCCATTCTCATTTTAAAACTTTTGTAATCATGTTGCATTCAGATGATGGAATAAAAACTTTTTGAACTTATAAAACTGTATTTCTCAAAGTTTCTCAGAATAATAAAAGGGGGGGGGGGGTGTGGGGGGGGGGGTGTCTTATTTTAATGTAAATCTCTTAGTTTTTTCTGACTATCTTGCATCCCTGTCAAGACAGTTCATCTGCATAAGTCATGTTTCTAACTTCACAGTTCACTGTACAACTTTATTACTTCTATGAAAGAAGCAAATAAGCATAAGTATAAAATCTGAATTGCTTCAAAGATTCAAGATTTTTCATCATTCTCACATATTGAAAATAATAAACAAGAGACAAAGGAAATCAGAGTTCTCGTAGTAAAATTACAATCTTTAAATCTAAACAATGGGAGTGTACTATGTAAGAGTCGAATGCTACAAATTTCTGACCAAAAAAGCTCACATGGAAGCCATATCAGTTTCTAAAATAAATCTTTTCATTTGATCTAAAAGCTAATAATGTGTTTCAACATAATACTCTTTCTTACCCGATTATTGTGTTTAGTTGTGCCAAACTGGTGTTTAAAAACAAAACACCTACAAGGAAACATTGAATTTGTTTGCAGCTTCACAAAAGCGTTCCTTGACCTCCTTATAGGACTTGTGTTTCAACAAGAACACTTTTGGCTTGAGCCATCCTTTCTCCAATTCAGCAAACAATTTTTTTGCCAAGATCTAATGTATCTCTATTTACATGATGTAACCTTTTCTAATTAAGTATGATTTAGGCGAAATGACTTTACCAAAGCCAGGTGATACAACTAAGATGATCACTGAAAAGAAAAAAAAAATACACAAATAATCCCTAGGCATGAAACTATACAACAACCACATTCTCAACACATTCAACGTACAACGACATATTTGAATCTGCGGTTTAAGTATTATAACCTCAACTTTCCTGTGGACTCCACTTCTGAGAATCAGATGATATAACAGGCATCTTCTGGGTCAAAGTAATGTGGCATTCTTGCAATTTGGATGGAATAATTCTGGCAAATTATATGAGCCCTTTGTCCTTCAGAAAAACTTTCAGGAGTGTGAAATTTCAAATTCAGATTTAGCGTCTAGGAGTCTGTCAGCTGATGAAAAGTCTTTTTTCTTTTTGGTGCCAGTTCATGTGTCGGGCTGCAGCAATCTCCACAGTAAAATATATCTTTGTTGACAGCTCTATTCCTATTGAAAGTATGAATGAAATATTCCATTTACAGAACAAAAGTATCTTATGGAGTTTAATTACTACAATATGTGAAATCATTAATCAATAAAATCTAATAATAAATTCATTACTATTTTATTATTATTAGGTAACTAAGAACATTAAAGGGAGGGCCTCCTGCGTTGCTGGAATCTGATGACAAAAGGGTGACACGAGGGGCGAAAGACTTAGGATAAGGTGGATACTGATTGTGGCATTTCTGAATCTCCCAGTTGCCTTATGATGAGGAAAACAGAAAAACCTGGTCAGGATGGCGCGCCCGGGGATCAAATCCAGTCCTGCCATTG